GAAAAGGTTAGTAAACGGATTCAAAACTTAGCAAAAACGTATAATACCTCATAGAATTTAAYGATATCTTCATGTATATATCTTATTAACTAAAAAGACTGAAAGCCATRTTTTCCTTTAGGCTCTACTAATCCATGCGATTGAAGCCAGAATACTGCCGACTAAAAAGCTGTAATAATTCTAATAAATATCTATATTACGATCTTAGAAATCTTCTTTTACTGCTCAATTATATTACTTCTAAATTAAGCCCGGGGTTACATCCCCAGCTGCGAAGCCAGCATGTGAGCCATTAATCTAAGAACATGTCATTCAAATCCATACATGGTACTCTTGCACAACTTTGCACTTTTCCCAAGATGAATCTATGAATCCTGAATAGACCCTTTTGGAGTTCCAAATTACCRCTGTGTTTCTTGATTACAGACTCATTTACTCAGGCTTAGCCTCGAATCAGTGTCTAATTACTCGCAAATACCAACAGTAAAGTAAAGAATGCGCAACTTCAACTTCAACTTTAACAACTTTTGTTTGTTTGAACTCCACTGATTATTTTTTGGCCGTTCTCGATTCACTAGTTATCAATTTTTACTACTAYAACTGTATTAATTTTCCAAGACAATCCTCTATTGATTTATATCGTTAGTCAAAAGGAAATGCCTGGCATGGGACCTAAAGTCCCGTTCGCACTTTCCTCTTTGGGTAGCATGTTGGTTCTATAATTTTCCTTCTTGATTGATRCCTAATAAAAGTTGTAAAAGTTAATACAAACACTTTGAAACTTTATACGTTAAGTGTATGCTACTTTGAAACTTGACGGGCCTTGACTGGAACACGAATATTCTGCACAAAATCGAGGCTAAGCCTGAGTGAATGAGTCTGTAATCAAGAAACACAGCGGAGATTTGGAATTCGAAAAGGGTCTATTGAATGAGAAGAATGTGTAATTTATTGTTTATCATACACTCACCAAAATTGAGCAAYTTAATTGGTACTCTACAGAGTACAATTTGGGATTTCATTGTACTCCTCTTGTCCAAACAGAATCCAGTAATTTTGTCGAGTGTAATATAATATAATAAACAGAATATTACACGGCCAATATGTCGCTGTCATGCAGGTCATCATCATTGCTATCATGCAGGTCATCATTGTCGCTCTCATGTAGTTCATCAACATCCCTGTCATG